ATAGATGTCTGGGTGGCCACCTTCTTGGTGTGAGGTTGTCATTTCTGGGAAGCATATCCTTTACAGAATGCTTGTCAAATACAAGCTACTCTAGTTTGGATAGTCTCATTTGTATATGAACAACAGACGTTCAACCCAAAACAGAACTAGTGAATTCCATCTGAGAGTCAGTCACTGAGCCAGGCCTTGGAAATTCATCTGGTCAGAGGACCTTTAGAGAAAGATATAATCTTCCTTCCTATTCGCTCTGTCACTACTGTTGGGTGATGATCTTATTTATACTTAGAGTGAGCTATTTAGGGTTTCTTGGCTCAGTAAGAGAAAAATTAGGAAAAGTTAGGATAAGGAATAGAGGGTATGTAAGAGGAGGAAGGTGAAATGGCTTTAATAAAATTGTCAACACACAAAAACTCCACCTGAAGGACTGACAAACAAAGTAGCACATATACCTGGCTTCTTTCATTCAAGGAACATGGGCCTATTTAGGATCCACTATGAAATGTGTTAAGAAAAAAGTAATGATACTGTTATAAATCCCTCTCATTCTAAGGCTTAGCTTGATTTTGCCCCATGAGACCTTCTAGAGTGGGAATTAATTATTCATTATTTTCTCTCCTATTACAAGCTTTCTACCTACTTTTAGAAGAGACAGGTGAGTGGCCTCTTCTGGAGAGTTTGTATGGGTATATGTATGACTGTTTTGTTTTGTTTTTTTTCTTTCTGCAGCTGGATTATTTCCTAAACTGTCTCCTTGACTCAGAGTTCACAAATATTTCATCTCATTCTTGTTTTTGTAACAGGGATGCACTTTATGCTTTGACTATATCCCTTTTTGCTCTAAAACTGACACTTTTTTTCTTGTTCCCAAACTTCTTCTCCCTGAATGTCTTTTCCCTGACCTTCTCCTCCCTGCTCTCCTTCCTAATCTCTCCTCCCTAACATTGGGAAACAGGATTTCTCTGATTCACCTTTAAAAAAAAAAACAAAAAACCCTGCTCCCTTTAATGGGGAGGAATCACAGCCTCTGAGACAAGAGCCCCCTGTGTTTCTCCTTTGCTAGGAAAGAAATGAACCTTCTTTTTCCCTTTTCTCAAAACCTTGCTTCATCATTGGATTGGCATCAGGGGTGAGGACTAAACTTTCCGTAGCATCTTGTCTCAGGTATATGCCAAGTTTTCTTGCTTTTCTTAAATCTATATTGTCAAATTGTCTAGTTTATTAGTGTTTATCACTTTGTTCTCAACATCCGGCAAAGCAAAATTCAGGAGGAGATCTTAAATGCTAAGGTTACCAACAAGAGTTTCCAACACCCCTTGAAACCTGGGGATGAGGTTCACTGTAGCCAGCATTGACATCATCTTTCAGTTGTCTCAGTGCTGAATAAATTATTCAAGCATCACAAAGATAATTAAAGGAAAAAAACCACCCAGTCGCACCCATTTATGCATCTATGTCAGTGTCTACTCCTGTCACACAATTTGTCAGTACTTATTAGAGGTCAGAGGTGAAAAAGACATATTTAGAGCAATTAGTCCAGCCTTGTATGCAAAACCATTTTGTGCAGCCCTTTCTCCATAGTAATTTTAAGACAGAGGAAGAAAATACTGCACAATGCAGATCCGTTCATGGGGAGATTTATCATTAAAGGGAGATAACAAGTGTTACAAACCACAGGTAGCTACCGGAACTCGGCTTTTATGTATCTTGGTTGCCAACAGCTTTTACTACTTCAATGAATCTTGACGACAATAATTAGAATTCAAGGGGAGCAAAGTAACATGCAGAATCTTGCAAATATGTTTCTGAAAGCACATCAACTCTGGCCTAGCCAGCGGGGATGCCTGTTCCCCATCTCCTCTGCCCTGTGTTCCCAGGACCAGCAGCAGCACAGGGTGTCTAGAGATGAATTTCAGGATGTCATAATTCTGAGCTGTCTCAAGTGCTAACCAAAAACCAAAGCATACAATAAAGTATATTTGTTTATCGAAATTTCCTCCAGAGGGAGGACCTACATCTGTGAAAAGAGTCTTTGGTGGAAAAAATACCTGAATGTTTTCTACATTGTTTTTTTCATTGCTTCCTAGGACACTCTCTGTCAGTTATCATGTGGCTACTCCTAGGAAGGCAAGTTGGAAATGTCAGATATTCTGCATTGCCTTCAGGTTAACCAAACCTCCTGTCACTAGAGGATCATTCAAGGCCCTGGGGCAATATGCTTGACCAACAGTGCAACTCCTCCTGCAACTCATACCTTCTCTCACACTGAACTCCCAATAGGAATTATTACCCCTACTCTGCCCCACCTCCACTGTACTTCTCTGCTTCTTACAAGTCGAGGCAGATGCCAGCTATCTTCAAATCCTCCAGAAACCTGATTACTCCACTACTTTTCTAATTTTTTTTTAGCTTTAATTAAACGTTTTTTGTAGTAGTGAAGATTGAACTCAGGGTCTCATGCATGCTAGGCAAGTGTTCTACCCTTGAGCTACACTCCCATCCCTCCTTCTCCACTTTTTTTTTTTTTTCTGGTACTTTGGGTTGCTTAACCACTGAGCCACATCCCCAGACCTTTTTTATATTTTATTTAGAGATAGGGCCTTGCTAAATCTCTGAGGCTGGCTTTGAACTCTTGATCCTCCTGCCTTAGCCTTGTGGGATGACAGGCATGCTCCACAGTGCCCAGCTCCTTCCCTATTTTTTTTAAAAAATTTGTAGTTGTAGAAGGACAGCATGCCTTTATTTGTTTATTTTTTTATGTGGTGCCAAGGATCAAACCCAGTGCTTCACACATGCTAGGCAAGTGCTCTGCTACTGAGCTCCAGCTCCAGCTCCTCCTTCCCTATTTTTTTTGAGATATTTATATTTATTTTTTAGTTTTTGGTGACACAACATCCTCATTTTATTTTTATGTGGTGCTGAGGATTGAACCCAGCACCCCTCGCATGCCAGGCGAGCGCGTTACTGCTTGAGCCTCATCCCCAGCCCCTCCTTCCCTAATTTTTGATGCAGAATTTAAATAAGAAATCTCTTAACATTTAGCAATGCTTTTGATCACAGCAGTTATCACAATTGTAATTGCTGCCTTTTTGGATTGTGAGTCTCTGTAGGTGGAAGCCGTATCCACAGAGCTTAGTAATGCATGGGCACACAGTAAGTGTTTATAAACCTTTGAGTGACCTCAAAGGGCATATATCACTTTTAAATGCAACACATTTTACACAGGTAAGAGCCCACATCTACACTGCACAGATCATATGCATACACAGAGGTATATAATGACCATCCAGATGAGCATGAGCATTATAGAATATTACCCAGACTCCTTTGTTGAAGTAGTGTGTGTGTGTGTGTGTGTGTGTGTGCGCACGCTGGTGGAGATTTAACCCAGTGAGGAGGTCTACCATTGAGCTACACCCCCCATCCCCCAATCTTTTTTTGGTTTTTATTTTAAGACAAGGTCTCTCTAAGTTGTCCAGGCTGGCCTTGACTAGCCTTCCCATTCGCTGGGATTACAGGCCTATGCCACCACCCTGCTAATGGGCTTTAATTGCTTGGGAATGAGCCCAATTCTATCCATTCTGTGAAGGCAGGCTGGTGCAGGGGAGGACGTGACATGCCCTGATTCTTCTGCAGGTAGAATTCTCAGGATTGAGGGAAGAGTACTTTATTTTAGAAAAAAACCAAGAACGGGATCACAGAGGAGGCGATTTTCAACCCGTAGACGGTGAAAAGTGAGCATTGAACAATTATTTTGCTTTCCCCTTTCACCACACTCGCCCAGGAGTACCAGCCCCAAAGAGACCTCTGAAGAGGAAGTTTCAGATTCCGTGTCATCTCCCTGACACCCACTTGACGCCGAGACCATAGTGTCTCTTAAGTAACCACCGCCCAAGCTTACCACACCCAGCTGGACACGTGCAGAGAGTCCAGGGCAAGGCGTCCAGGCTCCGCAGAGGTTCTTGCTTCTCGGTTACCAGCTCGCTGTACTTTGCACAGAGTAACCTGCATTTCTGACCCAAATCACAGCCCCAAGCTAAGAGGAGGAGCACCCATCACTGCGGCCTGGTGTTTCCTAACTAGTAAAATCAGAGGGCCGGCAACTCTTTAATTGACCCAAGATGTTGTTGATGTTTTTTTCTTCCTTTTTAAATCCAACATTTGTATCAGCATGTTATTCCTAGGGTGCAGAAGACCTTTGCTATGGTTATGGTTATGCATGCAGGCGTGCCAGAAAGGGCACCAGGCGGGGCTGGGGCTGGGGGATGGGTCCTTGGGGACTGGAATGAGCTGCCAAGAAGGGAGGGGGAGTTCGGATAATGTCCTCAAAGACCATAGGATGGGCGATCGGTGGCCCTGGCTTGAGAAAGTGAGTGTCCCATTTATTTGACCCGTAGCCTGGACTCCCTTTTAGATAAGCCAGCCGGCAGCGATCCTCTCCTTGGCCCTCCCCCGCCGCTGGAAGGGAAAGGGGGTTATTTTCGTCGGATCCCGGCGAGGCTATCCAGGGGACTCAGGCTCCCCGGGGCCGCCGCCCAGCCAGCACCCACCGCGCACAGGATGCCGCCCGGCCCCTCGGCGC